TATTTAAAAACTGGGTCATTTTAGAGTAGCCACCCCTGAACAGTCCAGGATGTGGCTTGTGTGTCCTGGTACCATTTGACAAGACCTGATGTCCCTTTTTTTTTTAATCCGGGGTGGGGGCGGGGGGAAGAGGCAGGACAGGGTGTGGGATCCGGAGGGTCCAGCTCCCAGCCATTAGGAAGGTGGCAGCTCTAAATCCTTTCCACTCCATGTGGTATTTTTCTGAATAAGAAGTTTCTTTGGTAGCCTGCGCTAAAATTTCACCTCCAGCCACAGCTGTTAAGTGCACTGGCTGCTGTTTAGCTAGCATCCCTTTGCCCAGCAGGGACCAATGCTGTCTGGGTATAGCTTGCAAAGTACCTTAAGACCCTTCTGGATTTATTAATTATTACAGTAACTCTTCACTTAAGATCATCCTGGTTAACACTGTTTCACTTAGCTTGCTGGTCTGTTCAAGAAGGTGCTAGTTCTGAGTTGCACAATGTTCAGTTCTAAGGTTGTCTGACTCACCCTGTCGCCTGCCTGAGAGTGGAGATGGGGCACAGGGCCTTACCCCACACCACCCACGATCTACTTCGCTGTGCCCCTGCCTCAACCAAGCTTCACACCCACCATTGCTGTCTACACTATTAAATTGATTTAAAACTTATTCTGTCTAGACATATAATGTCTCTGGTCTGAGAAAAAAAAATTGCCTGGAACCTAATTTCCCCCCTCTCCCCCGCCCCACCTCCATTTACATTACTTCTCTAGGGGGAAACTGGATTCACTTAACATTGTTTTGCTTCAAGTAGCATTTTTCAGGAACATAACTGCAATGTTCAGGATGGCTTGTTACTCTATTGGTAGCTTTTCTGTATACTTGCAATGGCACATACCGTCGTCAATTACACCAGCATGCCATTCCACGAGGCACTTCCAAACCACGTAGTCAAGGAAAACCACGGTTGTCAACTGACGTGTATTTGCAGTAAGGTGCCTGCAACCTCAAAGTTTCTTCCGGCCACATTCCCGATTCTAGCAGCATTGCGTTTGTAGTCCAGGGAATACTACTGAGACTTGTCATGTCACTACCCCAGAGCTAACTTTAATGCACCTGCCATGATCCTTTCTACTCGATCAGAATTTTCCACAGTTCCAGGTTTCTCTTTTTTTTTTTCTTCTCTGCTTCAAATTGCTTAGCAAAATTAACCAATAGGCATTCCTCTGCTATTCAGGGTTGCGAAGAAGGGTGATCCATTGCTGACGTCCCCCCTGCAGCCATAGCATAGTACCCAGGACACAGACTAAGTGTGGAGTAAGGATGTTGACTAGCGGTTAATTGACTAGTCGAGTAGTCGATGGGATTTCCATCGACTATTCGACTAGTCCATAGGCACTTTCGCATTCTTCCTTTGAAATGTACAAGAGCCCCAGCAGGTGCTCTTGTACATTTCGAAGGAGGAACAAGGAACTCCGTGTGCATCCCAGGGCCAGTGGGAAGTCGGGCTGACTCCGGGCTGCACACAGGTGCCAGTTTTGAAATGCACAAGAATCCCCAGCGGGGGTAGTTGTGCATTTCAAAGCAGCAGCTCAGCCTGGAGCCTGGGGTCAGTGGGGGACTTAGATTGCCCCGCTGACTCCGGGCTCCAGGCTGCGCTGCCGCTTTGAAATGCCACGTGGAGCTGGGGTCAGATGGGGACTCACCAGCTGATCTTAGGCTTCAATGCGCCGTTTCTGCAGAACCCAGAATCAGCTGGGGAGTCCCCAGCTGAGCCCAGACTCCAGGCGCAGGCTGCACAGCTGATCTCAGGATCATCTGTGTGGCACTGCCCCTTTGAATGTCGCCTCGGCGTTCTGATAGAGGCAGCAAGTGGGGGGAGTCGACTAATCAACTGACTATCCAATAAGCATTTGCTTATCGGGTAGTCAACTGTCAACTAGTCTTTTTCTGCAGGGAAGCAAAGACATCTGCAAAGGACATGAATCATGTGTGCACACCGTGTTCCCCCAGGAGTACAGCCAGGCAAACATCACATAGCTCTTTCTCCTCCCCCTAGTGGATAAACTGTGTCCAGAGATTTATAAGCCTACTACTGACTTCAGGTTAATGGACCTCGCTTTTTAGCTCATGTTTTCAGACCCCCATGTTCACCCCTGCAGATGGCCCAGCCAGCAGTGTGTTTACATGTCTTTGCTGTCATGTTATTTCCACATTCATCTTCCTAAGTTCAACCATTCACTGGGCAGACCATACATTTTTAAATTAGCAATACAAAAATAACATGTACATTATTTGCTTGTGTCTGCTTCCAGCCAGCTCCTGTACTAGTCACCTTTAATGGCTGTAAGGTAACACCTTCTTCAGGATTCCAAAAACTACCATTAAAAAGACAACTAAATAATATAGCAGATGAACCAGTATCTCGTGGTCTGACTGTATTATGGACACGGAACTAACAGAGTTAGGAAATCACTCTGTAACCTTACGAACCTAGAGCTAGGTGCTACACGCAGGACATTAGAAGAAGACCAAAGGAGGTAGACAGTTTTCTCTGCCTTCTAACCTTTTTAACTGGATGTTCCACCCAGCCTAGCAGACTCCTTTAACGTGACCGTGCAGGGTCTTGTCCATACACAGTACAGGCTGAACCTCTCTAGTCCGGCATTCTGTGGTCCAGCAACATCCATGGTCCAGCACGATTTTAGTTAACGGACTGTCCTCTTATCATGAGTATGGCCAAGTTTCCCGCAGTCCCATAAAGTTACAACCACCAGTCCTGGCTCTCAGTGTTCTGTGCTGTAAGAGCCCAGTAAGCAGTGGAAGTATTGGTAAGGCTGCTAGACTATATTGACCTCCTGTGCTTCAGCAAATTCTCTGGTTCAGAACCCATCAGGTCCCCATGGTACTGAACGAGAGGTTCAACCAGTTCTGTTGATGAGTTATAGTATATGCGCGTGCCCCTTTATAGATCTGTCCTTTAATAAAAGTACAAGATGACAGACCAGAACACTAACCACCAATATCCTAGTCACTAGAAAAACCAAATCAAATCCATAACAATCTAAAATTGTCCAGAGCCCATCACATAATTATTGTATTAGCAAATCATCCACCACATTGAAACACACGACCCAAAGGGAGATACGGGACAAATGAAGAATCAGGTCCAATAACCTGGTAGGAGTAGAAATGGGGCAGCACAAGGCACAGTCCAAATCTAGAGAAGAGACACCATGCAGCCAACAGGACAGTCCGACAGAGAGGGACACTGTCCCATGCTACAAAGAAGGTTGAGACAGCGATTTCCACAAGTGATCAGGAATCATAAGAGACTTCACATCAACAAGCAGTTGGGAAAGACTCTGTCCGACCATGGGGGAAAGGAGAGAGAGAGCAGAAATGACACTGTGACCCGCAGCAACCTGCCACCAGGCCAGAAATGGACCCTGGCATCAAATGCAAAGGGGACCAGATCCCTGTAACACCCATTTGAAGGCTCTGTCTTGCTTTTTTTAACACTTAAGTATGCTCTTGTTTGTGGTGCCAAGAAAGCCTCATTGAATCAAATGGAACGCCTGTGGCCTGCAGAATTTACAGTGGGGAGGGATGTATCCTTTGTTCCACACCCATGATTGTTATTGAAATATGTCTCTTCTTCAGATGGTTGGGTTGACTGGATCTGGAAGGGTGGCAGGTGTTTAATTTACCAAGCAGAGCTACAGCTGCCATGACAAGGGGAAGATTCCCTGTCTCCTAACCTGAGCAGAGGCTGCATCTGAAGCCGCACTGGATTTTAAGGCAGGGGAAGACGTGAGATAATTCATGCCCCTTGGGTTGGCTCTACCAGAAACACACCAAGGATATGTCTACACTAGCTCGTTAGTTCAAGCTAGGTAGGCAAATGAGGGCAACCGGAGTTGCAAATGAAGCCCCGGGATTTAAATATCCCGAGCTTCATTTGCATGTTCCCTGGCGCCACCATTTTTAAATCCCCCTTACACAGCACCAAATTTCATAATAACACCTTATTTTGAGATATCTTTTAATCCTCATGGACCGAGGGTTGCAGAGGTGCTGAAACAGTGCACCCATTATTTTGAAAAATATTTCAAAATAACGGGCGGCTTGTTAAGACACAAGGTAGCTATTTCGGGATAACTCTGGAATCCCGAAACAGCCACACAGTGTAGACGTACCCCAGAGAGCAGCTCCCTGTTGTCATTCAACGATCTGCAAAGTCTACCTAGTTAGATAATTCCCATTGGGTTCCATAATGTGGTTTCTCTACCCCTTTTCCTGTAACACTCACAATAGTTATGATTCTGGAGCTTCTTACTAGCACTGTACTGCTGTGGCTACAGGTTACATAGGCTATTACATGGGCCTATTCTAGCATGAGTCTGTCTAATGGCAAAACTTGTGTTGCAAATGCTACAGCACTTACACGCAGGGCTCAGTTCATCACTCACTGCACTAGTTTTACATCAATGTCACTCCACTGAAATCAGTTGAGTTGCACTGGTGAAGCTGGAGCAAGGAACTGGTGAATGAAGTTGAAGATGGCGTTGAAGATTTCTGCCACAAAAATAAAGGGTTCCAGTGTGAGGCACCGGACTCTCTGTCTTCCATGTATTAAGAGTCTCAGGGCCAAGCCCTCAGTACAACCCCATTAATGAGCTAATTCGCATGCTTAAAGTTAGCTAAATTCAACAGGCATTTAAGTATTTTCCTCTTAAAATAAGAAGATCAGCTCCTTTCACAATCAGCCCTCTGGAGAGCTAAGGCATTTGAAAGGAAAATAGCTCTATAATATTTAACAGGCATAGTGAACTTTCACCTTTCAGTGCAATTCACTCTATAATTCCCAGCTCTTACTCCCAGTCAATAAAGTGATGTAGCCAAGCAGGCTCAGAGCAAGGCTGAGAAACCTAGGTTGGCTCAGTGTAAGTCAGTTTATCTACACCATGCGGTTTGTTTGCACCAAACATAAGACTAGTGAGAGCTCGGTTCTTATTACCTTGACGCTTAAAAATCTGGTGCCAGCCATTGACAAACGCCAGTGCTGATGTGCCGTCCCATTGCAAAACCCAAATCCGTCTTTCAACGTCTTCACCACTTTGCAGGCTGTCAAAATTCTTGTCATCTTGAAGAGGTGGAATGGTAACTAAAGTAAAAAAAAAAAAGATAGATCCTACTTGTATTTTTTAGACTGAGATACAATCAAGGCCTTTTGCAAATGACAGTAAATAGAGGGGCAGTCAGCGTGTTGGATCGACTGCGCAGCACTCCTTAGTGCCTTCCCATTCTTTCAGGCATTAAAAGTCCTCAGTGTGGCCCCGCCTTCTTCCCTCCCCCCCGAAGAGAGCTTACTACAGAGGTGAACTGTGATCACGTCAAATAGATTGCATCATACCTCAAATACTACCTGCTCCTACTGGAGGACTGAAAGCATTGCAGGTAGCAACCAGAAAAATTCCTTATACATCAGCCTGACAGAATTCTTTTTATTTTTGTTTAATTTTGACAAATATTGTCCATATTTATTTCAGCATTTCTTTCTATTTGCATCACTTTACCTTTTAACATTCGCCCAAAATGGTTGGGGGGGGGAGGGTCAACACCACACATATGCAAAATAGATATCCTTAAACAAACTCTAAGAAGTTCTGAGCAAGCATTATTCTTCCATTGCTTATCTGTGCATTTAGATGATTCTCAATGAAAATAATGTTTCAACAATGTGTGTTGTGAATTACAGATGTGTATTACAGATGTTCACAGATAAAAATCCAATCTTTCCAAACCAATTTGTACAGTGAATAAACAGAGCTCAGATGCACTAAGACTATACGGGGGAATGTTATTTAGCAAGTAAATTAGGAACAGCTCTATTTATTCTTCCAATAGTCTCCAGTACTACACCATTAGATAGATTGTATACACCCATTAAGATTCCTAAAGCTGTGTGTGATGTTGGGTATAGTTTATACAGATTGGACAAAAGGGGGGGAAACATAGAATCATAGAATCATAGGACTGGAAGGGACCTCGAGAGGTCATTGAGTCCAGCCCCCCGCCCTCAAGGCAGGACCAAGCTCCGTCTACACTATCCCTGACAGATGTCTATTTAACCTGTTCTTAAATATCTCCAGAGAGGGAGATTCCACCACCTCCCTTGGCAATTTATTCCAATATTTGACCACCCTGACAACATGGCTGCTACCAACATGTTGCAAAAAGAAAGTGTGAACACAGAATGCTTGTAAGCTCTTTGGGCTAGGACCTTCTTTTAGTTCTGTTCTTGTACAGCACCTTGCAGGATGGGATCCTGGTTCATGCCCAAGGCTCCAAGATGCTGCTGCAAGTAACAATAAGAATATTTCTCCACAAAGACCACAACGTCAGCCGCTGAAATGGACCCCGTGTGGTTTCCTAATTCTCACCAATCAGTGGTGAGTGGCATATATTTCCTGTGACTCCTTACAATATATTCCCCAAATGTAATGTCACTCACTGGTAGGCAGAGGGGGAAAATGTGCAATAAACCAAAAAGCTGAGGGGGAAATATTTGTTCTCCCACAATGAGTCTAGTTATATAGCATGAATGCCTTAAACAAGATCCTGGGTTCCCCCAGCTGAGTGCTCAAAGCAACACGGAGCCATATGAAACTGGACACTCCATCCAGCACTTGGGTATATATTATGCCAGAAGATCTGAATGCCCTATAACTGCACCCACATGAAAAAAAGGGAGCTTGTCTCAGAAATACGTATGCTTCTGAAAAGGACACAAGCACTACAGGGCAGAGTTTCCTTGAGTTACACTTCCCCATGAAGCGCGGAGACATGCAAAGAATGGTGGGGACCTGCACGAGAGAAAGGTTGAGGGAGATGGGAGATGAGGACATGGGATATGGGAAAGCAAACCTCAGATGGGTTGGATAAGCATTACAAATATGGAGGGCTTATCTGAACGCAACCAGAAAACCTCTTATCTATGCATTGGAAAGTATAGGTAGGCTCGGGATGGACAACACTTCCAACCCAAAATAGCAGGCAGTTGTTCAATTTCTGATTAGAAAAGAGAGAAGCCTGTAAGAAAAGGAAGAGGGGAATGACAGGAGGTGTTTTACAGGACCCTGAATGTCTCTGGATCCAAGTGAAGGCGATGCAGCCGGTGGAGCCGTATTAAAGAGGGGATGTGTACACAGAAGACAGGCATGTTCATGAATGAATGAATCACAAGCAAGTGCCCTTTGTACTGGAAAGGTCGTTCCGAACTCATGCAAACACACGAACTCACCCATGCTCACAAACTCATGAACTAGTATTTTGTTCCAGTGGACTCAGCATTTTTCATCTGTTAAGCTATCGCCACCCTATCATGGATTATATTTCCAGCGCTGCCAGGTTTTTCTTTCATAGTGTGTCAGTGAGTGAAAGCCAGAATCTGATTCTGCCTTTTGGAAGTTTGAGACGCACGGGGGGTGAGGTAATTGTCTTTAACTGACCAAATTCTGCTAGTGAGAGAGAGACATTTTCCTTTACTTTTGGTATATGGCGCTACAAAATGTGTTCCCAATTTTACTACAGGTCGGACCTCCCTGGTCCAGCACCCTCGGGACCTCACCAGTCCTGGATGAGGGATTTTGCCAGACATGGGGAGGTCATATCTGGCTCCCCTGCTACTGGCTCCCCCCAGCTCTGGACCAGCTTCCAGCCTCCTGATCAACTCCTCCTTGCCACCAGCCTTGCTGCTCTGCCAGGCCCCCTACCTCTTCCCCTGCTATGCTGGGCAGCCCTGTTGCAGCCCAATTCCCTGTGCAGGCTTCTGCCCCCACCGGGAAGTCCCGCTATGGCACGCCAAGCTCCTGGCCTTGCCAAGTAGCCCCGCTACACTCCCGGCCCTGCCAGGCAGCCCTGTTGCGTCACACTGGGCCTTGACCCCACTGAGCAGCCCCACTGGGTTGTGTCTGGCTGCCCAGATGCGGTGTGCTGGATAGCCCAGACGGGGGAAGTCCAGCCCCGGGCCCTCCAGCAGGACTCTCTGGTCCTGGAACATCCGGGGTTCTGCCGGACGAAGGATGTTGCCGGACCAGGGAATCCTGGATTACAGAGGTTCAACCTGTAGACATTGGGCCTGGTTTGCATTGTTTGTGAATATGTATTTGTCACAGGGCACCTCAGTCACTAACCACAGCACTTTGCTGCCTGGTCAGGTCATGTGGCCTCACAGCTACACACACACACACACACACACACACACGGTTGTTTCCCTGACACCAGCTCTGTGTTTATTCTTTCCTTTCAAAGCATCGCCAGGTACTGCAGCCTGACAGCAAGAGGTGGCTTCCCCTCGGCTTTCACTCCTCAGGCCAGGCTGACCTCCGCGCCTTCCTGTTGAGCCTCTCCATCCACTTCTGTCCCCCCGGTAACACCAGCAGCCCGGGGACTCCCACCCCGGGGCTCTTCCTCTCCCTACTGAACGTCTGCAGTTGTGCACAGCTGAGCCTGCAGCCTTCCTCACAGTGCAGCACTACCAGTGACCAGCATGCTCCTACTAGTGCCTTGTCACTACTAATAGTGCCCTGACACACGCACGCTCCCCTGCCCCCCTTTATTTCACTTGAGACCTTGTCTTGCCCATGGAAGAGGTCTCCTTTGCTGCCCATGCCTGACACTCGGTAAGGGGTTGCTATTCTGCTAGGGGTTCCTTTGGGGACTGGCCTTCCATGGACCACTCGTGAGGGTCTCCAGCCTTCCACCAGCCGGAGGCACACCTAGAGGGTGGTGATTTCTGCCCCCCCTCTCCCCCGGCTCCATCTGCACCCATTGCTCATTGCACCAGTCTCATCCTGCAGCTCTTTCTCCCAGTTTACTTTACAGGTGGCTTATATCCCCCCGGGTGAATTGTCCCTGTTGAGCCGTTGCCTTGGGATTGCTCCCCCCCCGACTTACCCTCTGGCTTGGGACTGTCCGGGTATTTTCGCCCACCAAAGCTTCCTTGCCCGCTCTTTGGTCTGCTCTCTATCCTGGGCCTTGCTTTGGGCTCCCAGGAATCAGCAGAGCCTCTTCTCTGTGTCCCTCATTTAGCACTCCCTGTTTTCTCCCACTCCTCTGTGCTGGTTGCCACGTGTCTAGAGTGCTCCCACCCTAGACTAGGCTAAAGCAGCCACACCGTGAGCTTTCTGTCCCTTCCCCCCTCATCCGCCATTTTTGCACAAGGGGGCATGGGGCCCGCGCTGTTCCTGCTGTGACTGAGAAAGGCAATAGCTCTGCGAGCCCTGCTCTTTGGCATCTGAACGTTCCTGCCAAGGGGCCCACAAGATGTACAATGAATCGTCTTCCACTTCGGTCACCGCGGCACTCTGGCCAGGGCCACTCCACGCAAGGGAAAACGCTGCGGCTTGTCGTTCTTCGGCCTACTGCGACAGGAATCGTCCTTCCTCCAGATCCCCTTTTTACCCACAGAGCTCTGCAAACCCACAGTCCCCAGAGGGGCCGGCTCTTCACGTGGCCTTTGTCCCCGAACTGGCAGCAAATTACAATTTGCCTTCCTGAGCTTCACCTCATGAGCTTCTTCAACCTTCTTTCCCTCCTCCTTGCTCCTAGGGACATGGAGAGCTTGCCCTGGCCAGCCACATTCTCCCCTGTTCATTTTACCACAGCCTCTAACAAGGCTGGCTGCAGCTTCCCAACCCAGTCCCTTGTCGTCTCGGGGTTGCTCCGTGTCAACTCTGCCAGGACATTAAAGCTTCAGTCACCTGCCCCTCCAAACATACCCATCCGATGGATCAGTCTGACAATCCCTGCTAGGGCCCTAGGGACGAGTCCTTCGTTCTGTCTGGGATGCCCTGCACTTCTGGCAGTATTTCTCTGCTGGCAAGCGTGCCCTCGCTAAAATTGCCACTGTCAACTTATCATAAGCTTTGACCTCGTGCTTGCTCAGACTGTACAGACTTCCCAAGCCCCGCCAACCAGATAAGGGGCTAGTCAAAGGTTTGCCCCATCTGCAGCCAGTAGCCACCTGTCGGTTAATAAAAAGCCATCGGGATCCTCCCCTGGGACCATCTTATATACAGTCTCTGGCCCACCATTGGGTTTCCAGCCCCCTCACCGGCACACACCAGCCTCTGCAGGAGCAGCGGCTGTATCTGGCTCTGTTGTTTGAGGGACTCCTGGAACACTGGCTGCTACCCCACCTGCTCACCCACAAGTGCCTGTGGGGTCCTCTGCATCTCCTTCTCTTGCTCCGCTGGCCAGACAACACCCTGCCCCGGCGCCTTCACGCAGGCCACCCCGCCAGTCTC